GACTTGACAAACATTGAGAGGCGTCTAACATGAAATTTCCTTTTGCTTAAATCGAATTAAAAACTCATTCTGCTTCAATTTGGCTTAGGTGGAAGTTGTTGTTGTCGCTGTTGTTGTTGTTGTTGCTGCTGCTGCTGAGTTCCTGTGATCCAGTTAAAGTTCAGCTACGGCCAGTCAATTTTTTCTTTATTGCTTTACTAGCAGAAAATCTGTTTTATTCGTTCTATTTTATTGTTGTTGGCACAAGTAATTTAATGTCCATTGCATTTAAGCTAATATTTGAGTTGTTGTTGTTGTTGCTGCTGCTGTAGCTGTTGCTTCGTTCGTTCGTCTGTTTTAATGCCATTTCTGTATGGCTTTTACGAGCAATTTTATTGCCTTTTTTAATGCCGAACAGCGGCTGGTCACTTGGCAGGACTACATTCGGAAAGCAGCCCAAAAGTAAACACTACAACGCCATCCGCAACCCCCTACCCCCCTAGCCAACTGCCTTGGCAATTGTTGGCCATTTTGCGTTACCAATTTCGTGTTTAGTTTACTGCACTAATTTTCAGCCATTAAAGCACGCGGCGTATACGCAACGCCGCTATTTTAATTATTTTGTACAGCATTACTTAGGGCGGGGGCGAGGGCGGATGACTGAGGGCCCTAAATTACCTTATGTGCATTAACAGGCAAACACCCGCACGCATATTTACTATACATATCTCTACTCACACGCACACACACACACACACACTCAGTTTGCCTGCTGTTTATATTAACTCTTTGAGTCACTTTTGTGCATTAGTCACACTTGGCCGCTTGCTTTGTGCCTTTTGCTTTTGCTTATTTGTTATTTGTTATTGGTTTCTTTTCTCTTTTTCTCTTGTTTATGTTTTTGTTACGGTTTTTCGTTCCTTTCTGATTGATTTTGGTAAGCTTAAAAGTTATTAACCTACACATCAAAGCCAAAGTCCTTCAAATGTTATGTTAAGTTATTTCAATCGAAACTTGACAACATTCGTGACATTTGAATGCCCTGTGAAGTGTGAGTAAAGTGGGTATACTGGCGTGTGGGGAATCGAAGTTTAGATATTACATTTCATATAGAGTGGAACTCAGCTGTATGCCTATTATTAATCATTATTTTCTTCAATAAAATTTCCGTTAAATTAAATCCATTTCCCCATCTTTTACAGGGTATACCAGCAAACAAAACACTTCTGAAGCTCAACCCATTTTTTTATGGTTACAATGCGGGATTTTTAATCAAATGCTTGCGCATCAAAGCTAACCAACAGCAGCAAAAGGTCAAACCGAACAAACCTTCGCTGGGGCAGTGGGTCAAGCAGCGCCAAACTAATTTGACACTGAACGTTGGCCGCAAACTGATGGCACAGACTGTGCATAATGCTTATTATCCTCGACCAAACAGGCAAAGGCGTTTCAAGCAGCTGGGCAGCTGCTCTTTCATTTTGTTGCATGCAATTTGCAATCAGCAACAGCAGCAGCAGCACGAGCAGCAAATGCACATTAGAGCCAGTGTTGGAAAATAAACAAAGTGAACTTTGTGTGAGTGACAGACAGACAGGCAGAGAGGCAGGCAGACAGTTAGTCAAAGAGTCGCAGCAGGATGCTCTGGCCTGCGTTAAGTATGCAACAGTCTTCACACACACACACACCATAAATAGTTAACACTCGCTAAGTGTGTGCGTGTGCGAGTGTGTGTTAGTGTCATGTTGCCTATTATGAATTGTGCAATTGTCGTCAACGCCAACGCGCTTCTACTCAGCTTCTCTGCTGTCCAACTGACTGCACTCACTGTGCTGCTCTCCCTCCCCTCTCTCTTTAACTCTCTCTCTCTCTCTCTCTCTCTCTCTCTATCTATCTCTCTGTCTCTCTGGCTTTGACTCTGACTGACTGACTGGCAGCTGCAGTCGTCGCCGTCGCCGCCTGCATTTATCTCTTTCGCTGCTGCCACTCCCACAGCGCCAACGCCCACGCAGCATCATCAGCATCCACATTGTGATCATCGTGCGCTTTGTTTGCACCGCTGACGTACGCTGTCTGCTCTGTTTGCGAGCATTATATGCCTTTTTTTTTTTTTTTGTCCTTTCACTTGACTTTGCCAAGACCCCTCAACAACAGTTGCTGCTGTTGCTGTTGTTGTTGTTGTTGCAATTGCTGTTGCACTTCTTGTAAATGACTCTTCAACGTTTGTCGTATTTGTCTGGCAGCACTTTAAGTGCCAAATATTTTTACATTTGTTTACTGGCATTGCCGTTGCTATGGCAGTTGCTGCTGCTGCTGCTGCTGCTGCTATTGCCATTTGCATGCAGTGCACACATTTTGACAAATGAGGCATGTTGCTTTCTGCTTTCAGTTTTCTGCTTTCAGCTTTGGGCTTTCTGCTAGCGGCCTGACTTGTGGCAACTGCCTGCTATCAAATTTATGACATGGCACTGGCACTAATTAGACCAAGTGCCCAAATCAGAAATCGTCCAGTTAATCAAGCGTACAAGTATTTAATTAAGTGTCCAAAAAATTGCCCACAAACACACTAACTACTTTCTCATTAACAACATGCCTAGAGACGGGCGAGTGTTTGGGTTTCAAAAAAGAAAAAAAAAAAATTCAATAAAATTATAGTGTTGTTAAATGCTTAAATGTGCCTTTAATGACATCGTGCAGTGTTTAAAAATATATTAAAAATTTATTATAAAGATGACTCAAGTCTAAGAATGTAGAAACTTAGTCTGAATAAATTACGAATAATGATATATGCTATAGTTCTCAGACTAGTTTCGTTATCAACCTATTCGATATTGGATGCGATAGTTTTGTGGCACGATAATTGTACAGCTCTATTCAGTAGTTTCTGTAGACATTTCATAGCTTCGGGCGAGCGCTACAATTTAATATTTATGCGCTTTGTTGGCATCGCATGTCAAGTCATCAAATTGAGAAATGTGAAATAGTCAAAGAGAGGGAGAGCGAGAGGGAGTAAAACAGAAACTAAAATCTAAAATACGGGCACTAGTTGAGCTGGCCTAGGGAAAGTATATGTGCTGTCTGTTTACATTCATCATCAGCGATGGCAATTGACTGACAGCAGCAGCAACAATTGCAGCTGCAGCTGCAACAGCAGCGGCAACAGATTTACATGAACTCATTCGCATTCATTTCATGCGCTCGCATCCGATTGCATATATTAGCAACTGGCTGTGTCTGTCTATATATGACTGTCAGTCAGCCAGTCAGTCAGTCAATCAGTCAGTCAGTCAGTGAGTCAGTGAGTCAGTCGATTGTCTGTTTGATTGTCAGCTATTCTGAGCTGCGCTCTTTAGCAAGTCCTTTATGCTTATGAATATGCACGGGCATTGAATTGAATCGCCTGATTGTCAATCTTGCGCATTTGATTGAAGGCCTGCCATTTCTGCGCGTGACAACTTGACGAAGCATGCATATCTAATGCGTATATCAATCACGCACTCTTGCCATGGAGAGGCACATCAAAATTTTGAATATTAACTAGAGTAGATAAATAATCTCAGAAAGAAGAAAATGGAAATGAAAATACAAAGATTGAATCCATACTACAAACTGGATAAATAGGTCGATCAATAACAAATTTTAAAGCAGAATTTGAGATGTGCAAAATATTATTTTGATTAAGCTTACATATATTTAATATATTGTATCTATACAATAAAATT